ACTGATTAGAATGATAAAACTATTATTATAATATTATTTTTTTGATCATCAAATAGGGTATGAATATGAAACCAATGAAGATAAATTGTCTGTTGTTTCTTGTACTGACTCTTTTCAGAAGAAATATAGATTTTTATGAAGTTTTTTATAATTATTGATTTTGCCACCATTTTGGTTGCTAAGCGTATCTAGGAAAAACGTCACATCCGGCGAAAAGAGCATAGGCACATCCTGTTTTGTATCCACTTGGTATATATAGTATCTATGATCCAAGTAAAGTGAAAGACGCTGTACCAATAACATCCCGTTTGCGGCGTAATGATCAGTCGTCTACACTATACAGCACGTCAATAATGGACAAGACTAATGTCATTTGTCTGATATTTGCTGCACTTTTATTTAATGTTAATGGTAAGTTCCTATATTATTAGCAAAATTCATGTACTTGGCTTTTGTAGGGCAAGGCAATGGTGCTGTGAGACTAAATAATTATGGTAACACGGATGTTACTAATACCAGAGGTGTTGTTGAGGTGTACTTCAATTCACGTTGGGGGCCTATCTGTATCAAAGACTCATCTTACAACCACATTGGTGATGTCGTCTGTCACCAGTTGGGATTCAATGGTGGGAGCTCTGGAAGTGTTAGTCATGAGTGAGTAAAGCCTGGTTTCCACTATAACACCAGTAGTTCCGTTTAATTGTTGTATGTAACCTTGGGTAAGCATACAACTGTGATTTCTATCTCCACGATTGTTGTAAGGCTGTCTGGCTTCCATGTAGTTGTGTGTATCATTTTGTTGTTACAATTATACAATAGTGTTACGAGCCTTTTGTATGGGGGGGGGGGGCTATATGGTAACCAGGCTTTAAGGATCGAAAGGGCTCGTCAGTTTTAAAATCTGGGTATTATAGGACTGAATTGATCATTACATTGCTATTATAGGATAAAAATTAATTGTCCCCAATACTATCTTTTCTAATAGAAATTCCAAAATTAAACTTTAGTGCATGGTCCAGATAAATTGGTACTCAGCCAATGTATTAAAATACCTTAAACTATACTCTACCAATAGTAATCCTTTAAACACTGAAGCAGTACTTACCACTGTCACATGTGAAAAAGATATGCTGGTAATACTACAGTGTCGCTATGAAACTTCTGTCTCTTCTTGTGAACCTTCTGAAAGTGTTGAAGTTCACTGCAGTAAATCAATTTTTAATGAATGCTTTTTAATGCAATATTTCACAGATACAGCTAGATTATCGGATAATCCTTACAATGGCATGGTACGCTTACAAGGAGGATATTATTCTGGACAGGGAATGGTTGAGATTTATTGCAAAGAAAGTTGGAAAGCTGTTTGCAATGATGATCAATTCTTCAAGGGTGAAGCAGCAGATGTTGTTTGTGTTCAGCTTGGATATAACGGATACCAACACTATGATAAGATCTTATAGTATGGTATTGTTAGCATTATTGTATAATTTCATTTGTTTACAGTAATGGCTCTGCCTGGTTGCACGGTGTAGATTGTAAAAGTGAGTCATCAAGTAAATGCCTCTCTGATTGTAGTGGAGGCAGTTGTCGGGATAGCTTTTTTAGATGCACTAGCTATGGAGTTAATGTAACATGCAGTAAGTCTTTTAATTCATCATACATTCATTAAAGGAATTTTTACAACAGAATATGATACACAAAATTCTGATGAAGGTGGCCATATTAACACTTGTAAAATTAAAAGTAGCAGGGCAGGTGATAATGCTTATTGTAAACATTTTATGCAACATTGCTTTGTTTATATAGATTCTGGTCTTTCTGGTGGTGCTATTGCTGGAATAGTGCTAGGAGCCTTTGCAGTAATATTTGCTCCTTTATGTGCCTGCTGTTGCTATATACTTTGGATAAGAATTAAATCCAAAAGAAAAGATCCTGAAAGAATACCCTTACAAAACAAACCAGAAAAAGACTAATGAACAGCTACTAATAAGTATTTACTAGTGTTGTTTTAGTTACAAAATTTAATTTTAGTTTAGTAACTATTAGTTTTTCCTCTTTTTTATTAAATTAGTTAGTTTATAGTTTAGTTTTGCCCTTTTATCAAGAGTTTTAGTTAGTTCTAGTTAGTTTTTTTTCAATGAAAAAAAAATTTAGTTAGTTTGTAGTTAGTTAACTAAATCTTTGCATGCTCATAGTTAGTATTAGTTTTAACAAATTTAGTTAGTTATTTTAGTTAAATCACTTGAATGGCTATAGAAATTGCTTGTTAGTCTTTAAAATCTCAGTTTCTAGTGTTGCTCCACTTAATACTTATCTTTATGACACTTCAGGTGTTGTTTGAGATTTGTAGGATTCTTTCCTTTGACTCTAGCTCCACACTCTCTTTCTTCATTCCTGATGGTACAAACACTCTCATTGCTTTCTTGGTCATATGTAAAATGATTCCATACAGGGTTTCTTTTTGGTCTTCCCTCAGGTCTCCTAGTTTCTACAATCATAGCCATCTGTGCTATATTATACTGTTAACTTAATGCTATTGTACCAGACTACCAGACCACTGACTAGCACATGTATATGTATACCTGACATGCATGTGACATGCTGATGTTAAGTATAGTTAGTTTATAGTTAGTTATGAAGGGGTAAAAAATTTTTTAGTTAGTTTATAGTTAGTTATTTTTCATAAAAATTGTTCTAGTTAGTTATAGTTAGTTAACTAAAAGTCAACAAGGCCAAACTAAAAGTATTATTAGTTTTAGTTTTAGTTATAACTAAAACAACACTAGTATTTACCGAGGTATTTACAAGAGTACATAGACAAAACAGCAGTATAGCAAAAATATAAGTTTAATACTGTCTATAATTCATAATTACACATTAATTTTACTCTAATATGACTGGTTTAAATTACTAGTTGGCAGTTGTACCTGAGGCTGAAGCAAAATCCTGTTTACATGGATTTGCAGCATCATAATGCCAACTCTGCCAACAATCTATCTACCGGTATGGCCTAGCCATTACAGATATTATCTATTATTATAATGGCCTAGCCATAGATATTATCTATTATTACTATTATCATAGATATTAAGGCCTTTCTACACTTGTCCAGAGGCGTATTTAGGGGGGGGCTGAGGGGGCTTGAGCACCCCCCTCAGGGCTGGGCTCAGAAAAAATTACTGAAGTCCTGGACTCTTGCATCACTACCA